AGGCTCCTCAGCCTCACCTCCTGGCTCATGCGGGTGATCCGAGTAGATCTAGGTGGAAGCAGGCGTTCCATCAAGTATCAAGGTCCTAAACCGTTTAGGGTTTTATATGTAAGCATTAACACTTTGAAGTCAATGCGCAAACAGATGGGCAGCCAATGCAGCATGGCATCACTTGCAGTTGGTGAAAAGGAGATGTAGAGCTGGGTGTCATCAGCATATTGATGACACAATGCTCCACACCCCCTGATGACCCCACCCAGCGGCCTCATATAGATGTTAAACAGCATTGGGGAGATGATTGACCCCTGTGGAACCCCACATTTGAGACTCGACGGGGCCGAAATACTCTCCCCAAGCTGCACTCTCTGGGGTGGTCCTCCAAGAAGGAACGGAACCAGGCCAGAGTCAAGCCACCGATACCCAACTCAGAGAGCCTCACCAGGAGTTTACCGTGGTTGACGGTATCGAAGGCTGCCGAGATGTCGAGGACCAACAAAGATATTTTACCTCTGTCATCCTCCCTCAACAAGTCATCATACAGGGCGACCAATGCCGTCTCTGTACCGTGGCACGGCCTGAAGCCTGACTGAAATGGATCCAGGACATCTGTTTCATCCAGATGTGCCTGAAGCTGGTCAGCCACCACCCTCTCGACCACTTTGCTCATGAAAGAAACATTGGCGACGGGCCTATAATTGCCAATTTCATCCGCCGCCAAATTAGGTTTCTTTCTTATGGGCCTAATGAGTGTCTCCTTGAGGGCAGGTGGAAACCTGCCTTCAAGGAAAGACCTATTTATTATTGCAGTGGCCCATTCTGTTGTTATCGGCTTGGCTGCTTTGATTAGCCAGGTCGGGCAAGGGGCCAAGGAGAAGGTGGTGGCTCGACAGCGGTCAAGGACTCTGGCCACAGAATCAGGTGTGACAGGCTGAAAAGTGTCAAGGGTTACCGTGCAAGATGGAGCACTGGACATCTCTGCTCGACTCACTGTGTTCAGAAAAGGAGAGAGGTCCCGTCAAGATGGCCTCCACTTAAAATTTTTTAAAGGCTGCAAACTGGTCAGGTGAAAAACTAGGAGGAGGCCTATCATCCAGACCAGTTCCGGATAGGTCGCGCACTATACGGAATAACTCCGCCTGCTGGTTGGACGCTTCGCTTATCCGGTTAGCGAAGTAAGTTCGACAAGCAGCCTTTACCTTAGACAGGTAAAGGTTAGTTACGACCCTGACAGCTATCCTATTATAATCCGTCGGGTTCTTCCTCCACCTGCGCTCTACCTTTGTCCTATGTCACTTCAGCGCTCGAAGCTCCTGGTTAAACCAGGGCGCTGGACGAGCTCTACGACGGAGAGGGCGTTTAGGTGCGATCGTGTCTATAGCCCTGGTTGCGAAGGTGGACCAGCTATCAACCAGAGCGTCAACAGGAGCGCTAGCCAGGTCCGCCGTGACCCCTCTCATGATGTCCAATAGTCGGCCAAGACGGAGCGCTGGACATCTCTGCTCAACTCACTGTGTTCAAAAAAGGAGAGAGGTCCTGTCGGACCACTGTGAGGTTACATTTTATCAGGTGGTGATCTGACCATGACAAGGGGAGCAACATGAGGTCAGTCACCATCAGACACACGGACAGCTGTGGGAAACCCAGCGATTTCTGAAAAGTGTGAGATGATTTTCTTTACACCAAAGTATCAACCTTTGTACTTCCTTTTTATAAGCAGACTCATTGTTCTTATTTATGAGTCCCACCACTGTCGTATCATCCGCAAATTTAATAATTGCATTGGTGTTATATAGTGGGGTGCAATCATGTGTGTACAGGGAATAGAGGAAGGGACTTAGCACGCAGCCCTGGGGAGCTCCTGTACTTAGTACCAGGGTAGAAGAATGGTGGGATCCCATCCTTACTGACTGTGGCCTATCTGTCAGAAAATCCTTTATCCACATGCAGATCTCCTGAGGTAATCCCAGGTTGATCATTTTTAAAAACAACCTATTTGGTAGAATGGTGTTAAAAGCAGAGCTATAATCCACAAACAACAGCCTCGCATAAGTTCCCTGTTGTTCTAAGTGGCTCAATACAGTATGGAGTACGATGGACACAGCATCATCAGTAGATCTATTTCTCCTGTATGCAAATTGTTATGGGTCCAAAGAAGGTGGAAGACTAGCCTTGATGTAATCCAGCACCAATCTCTCAAAACATTTCATAATAACAGATGTTAAAGCTGCTGGTCTATAATCATTGAGAGATACCACAGCTGACTGCTTGGGGACTGGCACTATAACAGATGTCTTCAGGCAAGTGGGGACAGAACACTGCAACAAGGATAGATTGAAAATATCCGTAAAAACTCCAGCTAATTCTGCAGCACAGCCCCTAACAACTCGTCCCATGATTCCATCTGGTCCAGCTGCCTTTCCTATACATCCATGAGTGTGTGTGTGAGCAAATGTACACATAATAATAGGCTCAAACTACACGAAGCTGGATTTTGGCTGAATATTAGGAAAAACGTCATAACTGTTAGAGCAGTATGACAACAGAACCGATTGCCTTGGGAGATGGTTAGCTCTTCGAGCCTGGAGGCATCAAGAGAAAATTGGACAACCATCTGTCAAACCTGCTTTAATTTGGATTCCTGTATTGAGCAGTGGGTTGGACTCGATGGCCTTACAGGCCCCTTCCAACTCAATTATGCTATGATTCTATGCTATGGATGGATGTTAACAGGAATCTGTGAAGTTGTGGTCATCTAAACCCCGCACACGTTATCTATGTCTCTCTCCATGTGCCCTGACAAATGTTTGCTCCATATCTGTCGGAACACATTCTCTGTGTGCACAGAAGCATTATCACAGAGCTCCTAGTGATGAGGAGGGGCATTTATTACTGGTCATGGTCCCTGTTTTTTAGGATCAGGCAATCTCCATCAGTCCAAGCGCCATACACACCCACACCCACTCAGACATGTCCCAGGGAGGACCACCACTCCAATTCTATTTTTAAAAAACAACTTAAAAAGCCCACCCAAAACCTTTGTTAGCCAATTTTTTGTTTTAACAAATAAAATTACAGTGGAGGGAGGGAATGTTGCTCAAGATGGGGGGGGCAAACATGGCAAAACTGCTTTCTTCATCCCCTAAAAAGCACACACAAGGGGACTATCTTTTTCCCCCCAGTTGGTGAGGGAGAACTATGATGGCTGCCTGTCACTTCTTTACAAATAAATGTGCCAGGAAATCCTTCTGGTTGATATGGCACTCCTTATGGCATATGGCAATGTTAACTTAGGCTGGCTTGTATGACTCTGCCGTCCTCCTTCCACCACCAATGGCAGGTGCACAGCTCTCCAGGGATCCATGAAATGCTGTCTTATCCTTTATGAAACAGATGCTGTCCATTTCCTCCTGCTTGCAGTGCACGTTGACCAATTGCCTGTCCTCTGCTTCCTCAAGGCAGTTGGTGTTGCCTGCTGACATTCCCACTGTTCTCTCCTTTTTGTCTCCCTCTTTTTTCTGTTTTTCCTACCTTTCACTTCAGAATCAAAGCCTGCAGGCAAGGCCATGTGCATCTGT